ATACAGCCCTCACTGTTTAGGCATCTGAGTGCTTGTAAAATGTCTGACTGTAGCACTGTTTTAAAAATTATGCACAAGAATGAAGATTAAAACCCTAATGAAGTTCTTAAAAGTCTTAGGTGCTCTGCAGGAAAAGCAGTCAATTTTAGATGCAAAACAATCTCCAAATCCACCAACAGACCCACAGCCATTAACAGTCTCAACTCAGCAAAGACTTAATCATGTGTAAGAAGCCAAGATTAAATTTCTGTCTGTATTGTGCTGCTTTCCAGAAGTGCCACGACACTTATAATGTCATTGGAAATCCAATTAGGCACCTTTCTGCAGACAATCTAACATTCAAGATCCAACACAGTGCAATACAGGCCCAGCGGGCAGAGCTAGGCAGAACTGGGATCAGTAAACCACATTGTTCACAGCCTGACTCATCAGTCACTTCACCTCCCCAGGTGCATCAAGGCAGAAATTCATTATATTGCTCCTAACCTTCAGTCTTGCTCTCTAGCCCTCTACTGGGAATCTAACAGCACAGAGGGATTTCCCAAATCCACAGGCAGATATTACTTAACTTGCTAACATGTTCCAGGTCTCATCCCTGCCAGCTTGCACCAGGCAGGGCAGGGCAGCCTGGGATGGTTCTTGTGCCTGTAAGCACAAGTAATGCACAGCAGCTCTGCCTGGCCTCCATCACACAGGCGTTCCCACGGGACAGAGGTGTTCTGCGCTGTCAGCACAGTAATTCCTGCCAGTTCAGTTCATCTTCAGGGTTATCGCATCATGTCAGTATTATGAAGCTCCTGTATGGAAAAACTAGAGAAAAGCAAGGCTTGCCCACACGCAGGTTTCCACCAACCGCCCCACACTGACTCCCTCCTGCCAGAGCCACACCTGGCATAGCTTTGGAGGTGAAAAGTTTGATCCAGAGCAGAGATCCACCAGCACAACACAACCAAGCTACATAAAGCATATGAAGAGGAATTGAAAGGCACCAAGCCTGTGGGTTTGAAGGCATGGGTTATATCAGAGCTGTTCCCATAAGGAGAAACAGCTGATTAATCACCCTGCCTTAGTTATTACAAGTAAAAGGAGACAGACTCTGCTTCCAAACAGGCACGGAGAAGAGCTGTGTGATGAATGTAGAGAGGAAAAAAAAGACAGCCACACTCCGACTTGTGGATTGGCCCAGAGTGCATTCTGTTGATAGCTCCCTTCTGAGGATGGTTTCAGTGACAGGAGGAAAGGCACAAAAGCACCCTTTGGGGAAATGGTAATGTATGCAGAGAGCTGGGGGAAGGACAGTATTAAGCCATAATGTCTCACTGTTGGTCCTCATTGATTCTTCAGGTGGACTGAAGTTGACAGCTGCTTTTCCTCCTTTTTCCCAGCCCTCCTATGCCTTAGCTGTGCAGGCACATAGGTGACTCATGCAAATGGTTTGCAGCTTACAGGAAACACTGTCTGCTCCCTACTCAGCTTGTGGCTGCACAGTGCCCCTTTTCCTGGCTCTGTTTTCCCTAGAGAGATGGCTTTTTCCATCAGCTTTGCCAAGAGTGGTGGTTCTAAGATACAAACCTTCAGCACGTGCTGTAACTCTCACAGAGTGCCTCCTGCGCATCAGAAGATGGCTGTGAACAGCACAGAGCAGGCGCAGTACATTGGTCCCTTAATACAAGCTGCGTTCTAACTTCCTCGCAGACTCAAATACGGTGTTACTACACACTGCTAAACAGCTGTCACACTCCACCCTAGGCACAGCTGCATCTCACTGACAAGTTTTAAAATTCCTGTTTTAACAAATCAGCAAAGTGTTTTAGAAGGGGAAAAATTCTAAGCACATCACATGGCATTACTAACTTACTCAGCTGAATCAGCCACTGCCATCCCTGTTGGCTCTGGACTGGCAGCAGCAAAGACTGCTTCCATCATGTAGAAATTGGTGATGGTTTAGTAAAATTGCATCTGATTTCATGACTGTAAAGAGACTGCATTTTCATCAGCCATTCTCAAGTGAAACCAATGTCCAAGGAACAGAATGGTGAAATAATCTGGCTAATAGCAGAGAGACAGGATAAGACACAGCCAGTTCTCAAGCCTTGATAACGCAGGGGAACATTACAGATGCCACGACAGCGGAAAACTGGGAAGAGCAGGCCCAGGAGATGTAACACTGTGCCAACAGCACATGCCCAGCACATGCACTGACACCCAGCCAGGCACCTCTGACAAGCAGGACAGACAACCGTTAAATGAAACACAGCAAGAAGCAGAGATGAAGTGAAACATGGCAAGAAGCTGAGATTTCCTTTTCTCTTTAATCGATTAGAAAAAAACAACAAAGCCACAGGCATCTGAATGGAGTTCACACAAGTATTTCAGGTGTCCCTAGTATGTGACATTTTCAAACCAGTATCTCCAGTTACTACCACTTCCAGCACAAGAACCACAGACTCTTCTCAACAATTTCCCCAAGCTAGGACCTTCTGTCATAGCCACAGTCCCATTCAGCCAAGTTCCCACTGAACTTACCCAAAACTCAGCAAACCTTCCCAGATCTGATAGCCTGGGATCCCCACCCCTCCTCCCTCCACCTTGGCTCCTTTCCACCTTGCTCTTAGCTTCAATATAAGGGATCCTAAAGTGATAATGAAGAACAAGAGGCTGGCCCACACCTTGCACTAGAGCACCAACAACCACCTCAAGGACATCAGTGAAGATATAGGGACATGCTACAAATGCGGGAACAGAACAAGGCCCAATGCCTTACTAATCTGAAGTATCTATCCATTGAGCTCCTAAACTCACTTTTTACAAGACAGCCTCTGTCCTTTTTTGTCTCGCACCAAACTTTATTTTTTCTTTAACCTGTGCTGAAAGCAGTTATATTTGGTGGCACAACAGGGAACAAAAAGAAAAATTCAGCATTGTTTTTTGAAAGCAATAGCACTATCACCAACTTTCAAGAGCAAAATACAGAGTAGAATGTGAGTGAATATAGTGCTTGTTGTACAATTTGATCCATAGAAAAATTTAAGGACCAAAGGTCAGAGCTGTCCATCTGCTTGATCCTTTTAGTATTAACTTCCATCTTTTTCCTCTGTTGACCAAAACTGAAGATATGTGTTTTCTTTTCTTGGCCTCTTTAAATTAATACGATGTATCTTTTATACCCATTCACTGTGAAGAGAGCACGCCAGTCCACTTCACATAACTTTTCCTTCCCTTTGAAGACTAGGCCAAAGTGTTGCATATTCATTACCACATCAAGAACGCTTTGCCTGAAGGCCTGCATTTCTTGGTGTACTGTAATGAGTTCAGGACCCCAGCTGTCTGCCTGGGGATTTAGAACACTGATATTTAATACTAAATTATAAGGCAGAATATTTCATTTTATTTTTTCTGCTGAAGTAGCATATTTATAATGGTACACTCTACAGCCACTAAATAAAGATGGGGAGAGCACATCTTTCTGTTCGGACAACACAGTCGCTGGGTTACCGTGGTCTGGCCCTAGCCAGTTGAGTTTTTGGATGCCATACTCTGCTCTTAACCCATTATTCAATCTCCCCAAGGTCACATCTCCCACTAGTGTCCAACAATACACTGGAGAAAATGGCCACATATTCCTAGCATGTTTATAGAAGCCAACTTAGAGCCTGCTATACTAACAGCTTTAACAAGCCCTACACAAAGCAGAGCAGCTAATAAAACCAAAGTGTTCTGCAGTTAATCCTTGGAAGTTTGCCACCGAGATCCCACCAATACTGTTTCAGGGATAGTAGCTTCATCAAGCTCAAGCCCTGCTTTCATCTAATGAAACAGCCTAGACCCACATTCTGACAACACACCTCACAGTTTTATGCTTCCTCTGGGTTCTCTAATGACAATCTGTGAAACATGTACAGCATCAGATCTGGACTGGGACAAAGAACATCAGCATTCTGGAAGGAACAACAGAGTAATTAGTATTTCTCGAAGTACTGCCAGATGTGTTTAAAAGCCACAAAGATAAACAGGAGGGGAAAACCTGCATAGTTTGAATTAAGCTAGTAAGAGCATAAACAATCCCCTTCAATAGCTGCAAGCCGACAGACCAATGTTCCTGCTAATTCTTTTTCTCCATCAAATCTGTCCTTCATATCTGCTTTCCTACTTGAAGTTGCACAACCACGCACCTCCTTGGAGTTAGCGTGCTGGGGTAGAATATGTTAAAAGTAAAAAAAGATTAGTCCAGTTTTCCTCCAGAAAAGCTCCAAGACACTCAGTGCCTCAATTACTAGGAAAACCATTAACTTCTGCTATGCTACCTTGCCTCAATGCAATGGGAGACAGATAAAGAGAGTCTTGTATGTCTCTTGACAACTGCCTCATCACCACAGGACCCACAGCCCTGTCCTTGAACGTGCTGCTTTGCCTTATTTCTTTCTGCATGCTTATTTCCTGGAACTATGGCCAGTTTGGGTTAGTGGTCTGTCAGAGAAAGACATACACAGCTGAGCAACATCAGAATGGGTCACAGCTCTTTTAGTCCCTATGTGGAGATAAAGAAAAAAAAAAAAAAAAAAAAAAAAAAAAAAAATCCGGCCCGAGCCGAAGACGACAGATGATTCTGCCGATGCCTGTGGAAAGAAAGAAAGGCTTTTAGGATAATTGAGGTTAGGACCTAGGCTCAGCACAACCCTATTTCAGGACAGAGAAGTTATAACCACGCACTGCCCTAGCAAATCCAGCCATTGGAAGCCATTACTAGATGCTCCCTTCAGCAGGGATAAGTGGGTAGTGTTGCAAGTTCAGTGGTTTGGCAGCAGTAGTGCCTAAATAGGATGACAGAGGAGGATAACTGCATCTTAACTTCAGAGACCACACTATGTTTTAGCCTTTATAGTGCCTTGCTCTTCTCTACCCAACCAGTCCAGTGACTAATAGCTGCCTGGAAAGAGGAAGGAAAAGCTGCGTTTAAAGACAAGATTGATTGCTTTTTATTTATTTTCAAGACACCACTATTATAATTTTTAAACCAAGTAACAGGGTCAGTTCAGGGACTTCCCACTAGCAATGCTTGCAAAGAGGCCAGAGATAACAGAACATCACCTCTGTTTAAAGCCAACAATTTCCTTCACACAATATACACGGTCAGCAATCACTTTCCATCTCCTGCATGAATCCAGCAGATGGTCCTCCTCCTGACAGGAAGGAGTGGAGTTCACAGAAGATCTCTAGCCTTTTCAGCACAAATTTATTCCCCATTATGAAATGCAGCCACAGAAGAGCCCACACCAAATTACACAAGATCCCCACAGCTCACACTGAAAAGAAACACTGACACTTCAGCAAGCATTTGCCTACTGGCACCTCAGAGCCCATAATCACATGCCTCAAGGCTGTTCTTCAAATACAGCTGGAGGTAACCTTTGAATGTCTGTGGGTCAGTCATTGTAGCCTTGACAGCAGGGTCCTCCTTCATGGCCTCCATCCAGCGTTGGAGCTTTGGGGTGTGACTCAAAGCGCTACAGGAAAAGGAAAGAGACCGAGTAACGCAAATGGGAAACTTGGAGGGCATCAAGGAAGGTAACAGCTTGACCAGTTAAATTTTACTGCTTGTTTTGCTTTCTCCGTCCCATTATAATATTCAGCTCAGAGCAGGTGACAGAAATACATATTGGATCACAGAAGACAAGCTAGCATTTGGAAAGTAAATGAGTTCTTACAGAGCTTGTGCGCTCTGCAAAGTGGAGCAAAACCATAAATGAGGACTTACTGTGCAAGATATCAGCATGTTTTTGCTTACATTATCCCTGCTGCAAAAAACACAGCTCTTATCTGCTCCAAGTTGAAGGCAGAGGCTTGTGCACCACTGCCTCCCTCTGGAATGCTTTGTTAATGGTGATTCTTGAAACATGCTGTGTGCAGTGGTTGAATCCTCCACAACTCACAAATCTCTTCTCTCCTCTCTCTTGCATACCAACACAAGCTGTGCAGTTTGTACTACCCTGCAACCCAGGAGCTCAAAACACAGACGCAGTCTACTGAGGAAACTGAGGAACTAAATCCATAAACCCACTCAAGACACATTTTAAAAAGAAAAACCAAACCAAACCAACCACTGTATGGCAGATAGAAAGCTTAACAGTGTAAGTTATTATTTTCCTTCTCTTCTGGCAGATTGACCCAAGTACTTTGCATTACAATTTCCAACTCACAAGTTTAGTTAATGTGTAACTTCTCTGAGTAGTATCTTTTCTTAGCATACAGTGGCTCAGATCCTCAATCATTCAAATACATTCATGACTCTAGTCTTAAGCTCCTATATTGCTTGTAATATTTCCCCTTCCAATCAAGGACCACACAGGACAAAATCAGTCACCAACCCATCAGTAAAGTCCTCATTTTACAGTGCCAGAAGTTTCAATGCTAAGTATTCCCTGCATCCTTCTTGTTCTTCAAGAATGCTTCAGGCACCAGGGCGAGACTAACTGTTCTATACTCATCCTCCACTTTTATCATCCACTTCCTTATACAAGACGACTCTTTAGTCCTGCTTTAAGTCAGCTAAAAAACAGTTATCCTTTGATACCATTTCCCTATATATTAATGCAATACCATAGTAACTGGAGCTGTTTCAGGACATAACAAAGACGTTTATTTACATCTTTAAAAAAAGCTATTACAACAGGGACAGATCTATTAGCTCCAGCAAGGTAGGATGCATCTCAAACCAAAAATCACCCTCCTTTGTCAACCTAGGATTTCTGAAGAGGAGCAGAAGATTGCATTTCAAGTCTGAAGTTTTGGAGCAAGAAATTTGAACCTAGGCCTCCATAACTCCATCCCCTTCAAATAAAGACCATTTTCATCTGTGATATTAGGGACAGACAGAAAGTCCTGTATTTTGACCACTTCTTCCAGATCTGTCAAAATTATTTGGTAGAAAAATAGACCTGGTGAAAGAAAGCCTGTTTACGGAAGATCCCTGAACAACTCATCTCTCTTTTGAGAAGATGCCTCCCCAAACCGTAACACAATACAAGCTTTCTTCAGCATCCTCCAAGAGCGGCCCACTGCTGCAGTGTATGCAAAGAATATTTATGCTGAGGCACTTCAGTACACGCTGGAAGCCAGGCAAGGTACTCACTCTTTCAGCTGGAATGGTTCCAGACGTTCAAACCACGGCCAGATCATGTAGTCAAACATGGAGATTGAGTCCCCACCATAAAACACCGTGTTACGTTTGGACAGAATCTGTGAGGGGCGAGAGATGACAACTGCCCTCAGAAGGAGAATTACTGCAGCAGGACATTACAGTAACAAAACATTCCCACCTCATAGTGGAATGTAAGCATACCGAAGGGATTAGACAGCAAATAATGCAGATACAGCATGTTTCTCCCATGCACACACTATCTGGGGAGTCAGAGCTAGCTAGTAAAGTAGCTGTAGTATCAAGCTTAACTGTTTCATACGCTGTCAGTCCAGCTCTTCTCCAGTGGTTCCAAACTGTCATAAAATACAAATCACTGGCAAGTTGCAGCCTGTGCACAAAAAAGGAATTTAGCTCTCAGAATTTGTCAGTTCATGTTTTCTTACTTGTCAAAAAGCATTAATGGCACAGACTAATCAAACACAACAACGCATGTGCATTTCTTGAGCAATAAATCTGGCTAAATTTAACATCCAGGTAAACTAGAACACTGTTTTAGCAGGGACTCTTTTCTCATGGCACCTGAGGCCAAGTGGTGTCAGGAAAACATTTCTAACATTACATCTAGAACTGGATTTGATTCCAGGTGCAAAAGGAACAGGAGGCAAACATAACATCCACATACACCAGAAAAAGATCCCCACAGCTCAGCACAGAAAGCAGGGCCACAAAGAATACAGCAAGTTCTCCTGTTACATTTATGTTCTTGATATGTTTCAAGTGCCATAGTCATCCAAGTTTAACATGCTTTAAGGAACCTCCAGAGCTTGGTCTCTTCTTTTGTAAGGCTAGTCCCTCTGTTTTTAGGCACTTTGGCATTTTGAAGGCAGAACTCAAGAGACCTTACAAATCTTTGTTGTTTTGGAGACACAAAACTATACTCCTATGGTGTTTACTCTCTGTCCCCTAACCCCCATGATCTGGTACAAATTCTAAAGCAGTCCTTCAGGAAGCATCAAGCTGTTTGAATTACCAGGTGTCTAGCAGAATAAAACTCAGCAGTTGCACAGCTGCAGAGATGGGAACACAGCTCCCTCTGTCGGGTAGCAGCAAACTAAATACAGAAGCATTTAAAAACACTTCCCTTCCCAAGTATCTCTTGCAGTAGGCTGAGTGAAGTTTGCATGACTGTTCTTTCCTCCCATCCTCAGCTGACCTTCAGCTGCTGCTGCAAAATCCTTCAGGGCATAGTAAAATAGAGACACTGAAGGAGCAGCAAGTATTTCACAGCATTAATAAAGCAGGAAGAAGGTTAGTTCCTCCTTAATGTTTAATAGATCTGTATTTCAGGGAAGTGAAACACACATGGCTTTCCCCAAGAACTCATTTGTCATCTGCACTACTCCAACATTAGCCTGATCAGTCAGACAAGACTACCCTGAAAACAATCTTACTTGGCAACTCAAGGGGGTGGGGAAGCAGAATGCACAGGAACATCAAGAGAATTAGGAAAGTACTAGAAAGCTATCGGTAGCTTTGCACCAGAACAGAAATGCTCTGAAGGAACACTTCTTGATCAAGCCAGACAAGCATTAGTCATGGCTGCTAAAGATGCAGGAGGAATGGGTTCATGATAAAGGCAAGTCTGACAGCTGTTCAGACTAAACAAGAACCACTACTGACACAGATTGTGAAGTTGCTAATCCAGGATCAAAGTCACCTGACACTTCCTGGAGCTCTGCTGAAGCTGCGTTACACCACCGTAGCAGAACATGGCACAGAACTGGATTTCTGCAAGGCACAAATTACATTCTGCTTCCCCTCCAACCCCAACAAAGATAGGCTCTTGAACAAAGATTTTATATCATCACCGAGGTATCTGCACTGACTTCAGCAGAGCTACTGCAGAGATGCTCTTCAGCAGCTTGGACTCCTCAGCCCTCGCTCTTAGAACATGCTGTAACAACAGCACTCAGCTAGAATTAAGAAAACTTCCACAAGTCCACACACCCTTCATCAGACAAATGGAGCTTAGTTTAGCTACTTGGAATTTACTCTAATAACGCTGTTGTGCATCCTAGGCTAGGGGGACCAAATTGAAAGGTTGTTCATTGCTGGAACTACCAACTAAATGAGAAGAGATCTAGCTCCAAAGGCCAGAGCATGAAAGAAAAAAGGGATCACGCAATGACTGGCAACCTACTCATTGTCATGAAATACTCTTACCTCTTCGAGTTTGCCAAACTTTTCAGCAATCTCTGCTTTCAGTGCTGTGGTGTCCTGTCCATCTTTGACTGCCACAAAATACTTGAAAACTACAGGTGTTATCTATAGAAAAGAAAGTATAAAGCTTTTCATGTTCCTACTGCAATAATACAAGCAAGTCAGAGCTTAAAATGTTAAGTTAGATGTTAAGATACTAGATGCAAGTTAAATCTTAAATCTTTAACTTTAAAGACTTAAATAAAGTCCATTAATTAAAAATCTTTTATACTTCAGAAAAGGTAAGCGAACGCTTAATGGAAGAATGAATGCAAACACTAATGAAATTTAGTCTTGTAATGAGGAGAACAATGAAAAGAAAGGCATGTTTCCCATTTGCGCACAGTACAAAAAAAGTAGCAAAAAAGATAGCAAGGTGCAAAGTTGTACTGTTTTCCCAGTTAAACACTTCTGAAATCCAAATTACCAACAAATTAACAACATTTATGGTACTTTAAGAAAGAGATATGCAGCCCAGGATATGCAGGCTTCTACAGACCTGTGCATTTTCTAATTTGGTAATTGCCAGATAAATAAGCATACAGCACCAGAAAGTTGCCCAGTGGCCAAGCTTAACTAAACTATTTTATTAAAAGCTCAGAGACATAAATTTTTCTAAGATCTTGTTATTCATACAAGCAACATTCAGTACATGTTTCATTTTTTGCAACATGGTTTCTGGTAACCCTCTTCCCATCATGCCTATTCAGAAAGGCCTCTTGCAAATATATCCTCCCTTCTGTCCCCCTTCTTTGTCCACATCTTCTGTTGCTTCCTCTCCTCTCGTGCCTCCTATACAAGCTGACTTCTTTCACTTCCTAGACTCTTCAAAGCACATGATTTTACAGAGAGATTACTTCCAGTCAGCCACAGTGCCCACCTCCAACCTCTACTGAGAGCCAAAACCAGTCTCCTTATACATGTCCCATGTCTACAACCACCTGCCATCTCCTGTCCACGGTCATAGGCTCTCTCAGTCAGGCACTCTTCGCATTCTGCATTCATACAGTACTTCCTACAGAAAGTCGGATTAAAATACAGCAATTGTCACTGCCTAGGTCTCAAGCATTCAGCTGGTTTGGTCTACTAACCTTTGCTCTGTTGTAGGATACTCAAAATCCTGCCTCAGTCACATACACTTTCACTAGCTTGGCTGTCTTCCTGACCCATCCCTGCACATAAATGCTGGCAGCAAGTCCGGCACACAGTGGTTTGTATGTGCTCACAGCAAGAGACCCCAGATAACCCCTCCAGTTATTTAAATGCTTGTGCTGGTTTTGGCTGGGATAGAGTTAATTTTCTTTATAGTAGCTAATATGGGGCTATGCTTTGGATCTGTGCTGAAAACAGCGTTGATAATTCAGCAATGTTTTGGTTACTGCTGAGCAGGGCTTACACAGAGCCAAGGCCTTTTCTTGCTTCTCACCCCACCCCACCAGCGAGCAGGCTGGGGGTGCACAAGATGCTGGGAGGAGGGCACAGCCAGGACAGCTGACCCCAACTGACCCAAGGGATATCCCATACCCTATGTCATGCTCAGCATATAAACCTGGGGGAAGAAAGAGGAAGCAGGGGGAACACGTTTGGAGTGATGCCGTTTGTCTTCCAAAGTCACTGTTACACATGATAGAGCCCTGCTTTCCTGGAGATGGCTGAACACCTGCCTGCCCACGGGAAGTAGGGAAGCAATTCCTTGTTTTGCTTTGCTTGTGTGTGCAGCTTTTGCTTTCTTGATTAAACTGCCTTTATCTCAACCCATGAGTTTTCTCACTTCTAGCCTTCCGATTTTACCCCCCATCCCACTGAGGGGGAGTGAGCGAGCAGCTATGTGGGGCTTAGCTGCCAGCTGTGGTTAAACCACAGCAATGCTTTTCCCAGACACAAGACCTGCCTTGAAGGATGAAAGCAGCACTGGCAACAGAGCTGCAGTCTTTGGTGCTACGGTAAAGTAAGAAACACAATCCCATCCTGATGATGCAGTACCTTTGAGAAATGTTCCAAGAGCATCTTCTGAAAAGCTCGCTCGTATGGGTCCGAAGGCATCAACTTCTTCCCCGGAAATGCTTCATCCAAATACTCACAAGTGATTGGGGACTCATAGATCAGCTGGCCCTTGCTGGTCTCCAGAACAGGAACCAGACCAAAGGGGTTCTTCTCAAAGAACCAGTCAGGTTTGTTCTTCAGATTGATGTTGATTACCTCATGGCTAAAAGAGCAAAAGAAACAAGACCCAAACAGGCTCAGTTCTGCTACAGTCCACTCCATACCATGGCAAAATGCAGTCATTACACATCAACAGCTACAGTACTTGAGAGGCTGAATCATTGTTTCCCTGTTCTCCCTAGTCTTCCCTGAAGCCCTTTGCAGGACTAACCATTTGACACATAGAAACACTGCCAGGGAGCACTTCCCTTTGCTGGACAAAATAGTGCTGACTTACAGTGAGTTGTTTGTTACACTAATAAAAGGCACATGAATAGTCTGCAAGCACACAACAGAGACAGCCTTTATAGTCATGCTAAAAACAAAGGTCAAGCTCAGAATGCAGTGCACATCACATGCAGGTTCAGGGACATTCTAAGAAAGGAGCACTTGATTGCAAATAAGCCACACTCCAACTAAGAAATGCAGCTGAACTTCAATCTGACCTTACAGAAAAAAAAAAAGGAAAACAGGAGAGCATCCTATCTACTCCTCTTCCCCATGTATGGCCTCATGTGGAACAGGTGTTTAGGGTAAAGGCAAATAGATACCAATAAAAGATACATGGGAAATATGTCTACATTATATTAACAAACCAGAAGTTATATGCTGTGTTATAGGCGCGGCCCCAGAAAATTCGTAGTAAGCCCAAAGTTCTGCTAAATACATCTGAACCTTCAAAACAACTGAAAGGTTACAGAAGGCAACTACTACATTTAGGTAGCAATAAAACCCCTCCAAAATCACTATACGAAAACAAACCTCCCAGCTCCAAAATCAGTCCGAAGACATAAAATAAAGACAGAATTAAACTGACTTGGAAATTTTAATGCACCTGCTCTTTTGAAAAAAACCCAAGAAAAAAACCAAACCAAACAAACCCAACTCTCATCTTGCTATCAAGGGACGTCAGGAGAACTGAGTGGTAAGGATTCACTGTGCTAACATGGACTCCCCAGCGCTGGTTAATCGTTGGCAGGCCTGGGGGTTGGTGGGAATCAGGAAAAGGTGGAAAAACCTGTTACGTTGAAGTTGTAAACTGAGGCAAGCACTAGTCCCCATTTAAAAACACCGAAATGACAGGGCTATCTTGAAAAAAAAACAGCAAACATAAGTACTGAATTCCATCAACTTATTACAGCACAGGAGTGAGAAGACATTATAGAACACAACATTTCTTCTTTTAAAAAGGCCACCCGCTCACTATTGTGTTCTGCTAAGCAGTAACATAACAAACACTGAATATTCATATCTCCTAGAATTTTCGTCGCAGCTTACATCAAAACCAAGCAACAACATATGTTAAGGCTCTATTCACATTTACCCAGGACAAGCTCAAATGCTGTTATTGCAAACATTCAAGGTGACAGGGCAGAAAAAAAAAATCAAAAAAAAATCCCTACAGATTTACTTTGGGCCTTTACATAATTGATTTAACACACAGCCTACTTATTTCTCACTTCAGCAAGACACCCTCCCCAAAAAAGTCTTAAGAAGTTCAAAATTTACAGCAAAATCACCCACGGAAACCTCTTTTGATCCAGCTCTTTCGGGGATGTCTGATGAAGAGGAATTGAGGATGCCCAGCCAAGAAGGGAAGCTTGAACCGCCCCCTGCTCCGCGCCAGCCCTGACAGGCCGCCAGGGGAGCGCGGGGTGCAGCGGCCCCGGGGGAGGGGGCCG